AACGAATTTTTCTGTGCCCTTACCATAATGTTTTATTGCCGAAGGAAAATACGAGTTGTTGAGGTGATAGGAGTCAAATATACAAGTCTGTAAAGAAAAGCAGTTGCACGTATAAAACTTCATTAACACTAATAGAGTTAAGTATTTTTCTCTTGTGCCTCTGCTGTAGTTTTCCTACCAGGCTCTGTAGGGCAGGGTGTTGTCTGCCACATTGTGTTTGCACAGTATATGGCATGATACAGCCTCACTCTTGACTGCTACTTAGATGTTACCATTAAAAAAAAAAGTGATTAATGCTGATAGTAGAAAGTAGAATCGGTTAGAGATAAGGTAGGATGTTCAAATAAGGTAACCTTTCTAATATCATGATTGCGAGGCACGTGCTGAAGTATTTTTTTCCTTCCCACTCTTTTAAAAGAAAAAAAAAAGGATGATCCAGTGCTTTTGACATAATGATTGGGATTCTGGAGGAACAGTGACAGTCTTAAAATTGTCATACCTCATTTTGTTTTGGAAGAGAAGCAGCAGCACTGTGGCATATTGATTTCTAATTGAATGCAGTATTTTTGCTAGGCTTGGGCAAGGCCCATGCTGATCCTCTGTGGAATAATGTAGTGATCTTGAGTCTGGATCCTTGTGAATAGGAATCATTATAATCAATACAGTAGTTTCTATCTGGGAAGTCTGGTCAGCAGTGTGAGGGTTTGAATGGCTTAGGTCAAAGTGGAAGCAAAACAGCTGAGCAAACCAAGATGGAAGGCTCACAGCTCACAGTATCTGAAATCTATAGCCTGCAGGATTATCAATCTAAAAATTCAGACATGTAGGATAGCGTTCTGAAAATTAAAAAAGACAAGAAAGTCTGTTGTGTTGCCATCTGTTCCTCCTTGGACTATGTTCTTGGTAACAAAAGGAGGGCTCGTAAGCACCATTTGTGGCAATTAAGTTAAATATGAAGAGGAATAAAGATTGACAAATGTGTGTGACTCTGGGGAAAACTTTTAATATTCTTCTCTGCCATTGTGTCTGTGAGATAATCATTCTCCTCAGAGAATGAGGTTTTTTAAGATGTCACTAATCTCTACAGAATGAAAAAGAATTTCCCTTTATCCCTGGTTTGCGTCTCATTTTCAAGACAGAGAAAATTATTATTGTTCTCTTATATTTTAAAAGCAAAATTAAAATCTTAGCATATAACTGATGGTGGGAGAGGTCATATAAGGTCAGATTCTAATCTTTAATACATGATACCCATCGCCATGTTTCTCAAATAAACTGAAATTGTGGCTATTGATGCATGAACAATCACAATTTTTCAGATAGAGAACAATGTGTACAGAGCTGCTGAAATTATCTCTGCTCTTGTCTCTTAAATTTACAGTTTTTTTTTTTATACAAAATTCTGTGCTGTTTTTGTTAGAACATACTTACAAATCAAATACAGAATCACAGAACTGAAATAATACACAGCTGATTCAAACAGTGGGGAATAAGGGTGGTGATTGACTTCTCAGAAACCCAGCATGCTGTCACACCTTCTAAGCTCTGTCAAGACTAGAATAAAGGGTGTTTCTAAAATATGTTAGCTAATACTTTTTTTTGCTTACACACCTGCCATGGGGTTCAACATGCCTTGCCGCTATATGAAAGTATAGCTCTCACTCTACACTAGAATTTTAAAATGTGTAAGCAAACTTGTCTAAATTTGTTATTTTAAAACTTAGATGTAGTTGGTGGTAAAGGAAAGCTTCCTTTTCACAACTGGCAAGGAAATTACTAACAACCAAAACAACCCTTCCAGAAAAAAAGAAAATTGCTTGTAGAATTGTGCGTGTGTGAACGTAGAAAGTTCTTCCTCAGGGAAGGCACAGAATACGTAAGACTCATCTGCTTACTGGAAGGGCTGACTATATAGCTAAAATATGTGAAAGTTTGATGGCAGGAGTTCTCTTCGGGTAAAGACTGAGACAGTCCCCAAGGAGAAATAAGCAAAGCTTGTAAAATGATTTTGCTCTTGGTATAACATTGTCTACGTTAGTGTTTCTGTCAGTTTAGTTGTTTAAATTGTGGCTTTTTTTTAACACTCTTCATTGACAAAACTCTCTTGTGTGCTGTACAAATGGAGTATTGTTGTACTGGCATCTTAGCCTAAGTGGCAGAGGCTAGTCTAAGAGAAAAAGGGCAGACAGACCACAGCAATTGGGTGTGATCTAAGAACCTCTATGAGCAGCTAATCATTTCTTAGTTTAATCAACAGTGAGGACTTACCAGACCTTTCTGGAGATAACTGAGAGTCTTGGAAGCGTTTTCCTCCTCCATCAAGCTGTGGAGGTAGATTGACTGACTAGGACCTCATTTTTTTGCTCACCCAAACATATGAGTCTCTAGATAGCAAAGACTAGTAAAGGAAAATCAGGAACACTGCTAAAATGGTGGAATAGGGAAAACAGATGAGGAATCACTGAAACTCTGTGGAATTGATCATGCTGAGATGCAGAGAGGAACCTCCTAGGGATCCTGAGAAGGAACCAGCAGCAAAATAGGTGTTTGAAAGAGGCAGCCGGAAACTTGCGGATAAGAGGGCTAGAAACACAGCAAGAAATATAGAACATGATTAATTGCATTAGAGTCATTCTTCCACCAAATGAGTTGTTCAAATGCCCAGTGAACTCTCCATCAGCACTGAGGGAAAAAGTAAGTAGAGGTTCTTAAGAGCTCTTCCATCTGGGAGCACAAAACACAGAGAGGTGTGGGACATTGGTGGTTGTCTTGCGAGAACTTGTTGCTAGAAACTTTTGGGTATATCACGGCCTTGGTGGCAGAGTGGGTCTGTTAATACCTTGCTAGAACAGACAGGCTAGCTGTGACCATCGAGCATCAGACCCCCATGTGTCTCAAGATCAAAGAGGCAGCTTAAGCAAGTACAAAATCTCTTTGCTGTACCAGTGTGTCCACTCACCTTCTAAAAGCTAGGGAGTCTTGTTGGAATAGACAGACATTTCAGGGAGGAGACATGCTGGAGGCTGATGCAAGCAGTAGATGTTGTCTCTCATCTTCTTGTCTTGGGAATGAGGTAATTAAAAAAAAAAAATTGTGGAGGAGAGGTGATACACAGCAGGGATAGCGTAGTCAAGACAGCAGAGAAGTCATGAAAGAATGAAGTTTAGATTTCACCTTCTTCCCCTTCTCTGTTACGAAAGATAGTGAACCCTCATGACAAAAAGTATAAAAAGAATGACTGCTTTTGAAAAAAAAAAAAAAAAGAAGCATCAAATTCCAGGAAACATGTAATGATCATTTAGTTCCGTAGTGTTTTCTTGCCACATAATGTTATGGAAAACATTTGGAATCTATTAAGGAAAAGTACTTTGAGTTCACTCTCTTGTTCTGTGAAAATCAAGTGGAGTATATTGGGCAAACAATGGAAGATGAAAGGGAGCAAACCCAGTGAATCATTTATAGCTTAGAGTGTTGGATCCTCAGTTTGCACAACCTTTTGCAGGTGTGCACAAACTTCCATGCAGTGTGGTGAGGAATTTATTACTTGACTTGGGTTGGAGAAGAGCCAAATTTGTCCTGAAGCCAGGACCTGTGGCTGTAAAATGTGCTTGCTGTCATTCTGTCCAGCTTGCGATAAAGACCGCTGTATGATACAAACCCCACGGACTTCTTGGGGGAGGTTCTGTTACTGCCTAGTTCACATTTAACAATGTGAGATGTATTCAGCCGTCTTGCAGATTTCATGTACTCTTATATATTGGCGAAGGATTTTGAGGCCAGTAAACTGCACACAGATCTATAAGGGGAGAGAAAAAGCCCAGTCAGGTGGAAAGCAAGGGCACGAGGCATCAGCAGGCTGGTGTAACAGAGGAAAAGTAAGTCTGGTTACAAATCCCTTTTCAATTAAATTAGAAATGTTACAGGCCTTACTGTGGTATTATCCAAAGAGACAGGTGGAATTTGTATTCAGAAGGACTTTTTTTTATGATGTGGGAGTAGGGTAAAAATGTACAACCTTTTAAAACTTGCAAGAAATAGTTGGAGAAAAATTGAAGTAGTGATAGCAAATAATGTTTGCCGTTGTTCACCTGTCACCAGTAATTCCATTTAAAGAGTGGTCTCTCCAGGGTGTGATGTCTATTAAAAGAAAAGCAAACCCTGAAGAAGGCTGCATGATATGATTTATAATATGCCGTATCATCCAGGCTTCCTTTGACTGATCATAGTGACATTTGGTATGTGTAGGTTTGAATCTTTCATTCAGGGTGTAGATAGTACAATGCATCATCAGACCCTCGTTGATGTTTCACTCCGCAGAAGAAAGTGCTGAGTGGTAGGATAGCCTGTTTGAAGGATGTTACTGTATTTGCATTTGAGTTGCACTGTTCTACTTAACTGTGTTTTCTGGGCAGGATATCTTTTTCTGATGTACCTGATGGCACCTGAGTGATGTACATGCATAATGGCACCTTGGGGCCAGCAGTGATTCCCAGCTGAGGCTCCCTCAGAGGTTGGCTTGGCTTTTACAACTGCTGACGTATAGGATTAACAGGAAATTTCCCATGAGCACTAAGGATTTTGTTTTGAGTTATTAGATTCAGGAAGCATCCAGTTTACCTACTCATCTCCTCCGTTTCATATTGTAACTTCTGGATTGGCTTTTATTGTCTCATTAAGTCCCCTTTCAGGGCTGAGGCTTCGTTGCAGCTTGGCAGGAGTTGCCAGTAAATGCAAAGAAGAATCTTATGGTAGAGCTGCCCAGAGGAGGACGGAGTGGGAAAGGTTCTGTGCCTCTTGCAGCAATCAAGAATTTTCTCTGGGTGACATGAAGCTTTTATCTGAAGTGGAAACTCATTTAAAGCTGTGTTTATCATCATGCTTTTAGTGCCTTCTGAATTGACCGCAGTAAAATACAGACATTGGAGTGCAACTCCAGGCATGCACTGAAGGTTGGAGTTGTGTCAAAAGTAACAAGCAATGTCCATGGAAATTAAAGTTATTTAAAAATCTGATTGAACTGGAAAATGGGCTGTATTTCCCAGAGTGCTAATAAGAACAAAAGCTATCACCTGTCATTATTTTCATGCAGATGGTAGCTAAGTCTAGTGTTTGTCCTTGTGATAGTCACTATTTGGTTAGTCGCTCATTGCTCGTGGTTGCTAGTTTCCTTTAGCAATGAATAAAGTATAAGCCTGTAACAGCTCAGTTGAGCAAATTGAAATACCCTGTCCTTCTTTATAGGTGTAGGAGCATCCACAGTATTCAATATTCCAGGCAGTCAAACTTGCATAGATTCTCCCTTGGATTGCTGGGCTGAATAAAACATTTTAATAGTCTTGTAATCTTTTAGTGACAAATAAAATTTAGAAACCATGTCAGTACCAAGATTTACACTCCACGGTGTACTTGGCCTGCAAGCGACTGGATCAGTGTGCTTTGTCTGAGTTGCTGGTCTGAAGTTGTTTGTGTGCAGGGGTTTGGGTGAAGGGGAATGTGATATCAGCTGCTGCCTGTTTTGACTTTGTCGATAAGTGTGTTGTATTCTGGACGTGTGCAGCCGTTGCACTGGACACTGTAGCGAGCTGTTTGCAGGTGAAGATCTGCAGTTCAGTGAAAGGCAAGCTAGCTGGTCAAGCCGAGCCAGTCCGATCCGTGAGAACAAGGCAGAGTCAGCTCTGACTTGTACGGTCAGTTTGCAGTGATCTTAGCAGTGATGCATACTTCCCTCATGGGTAGGATTTTTAGGGAGAATGAAATGCCATAACTGAAAGGCTCACATTTTTCTAGGATTACCATAGGGCTTAATTAGATGAACTAATAAAAAGACTTGCAGTTTAAATCTACCCCATGTCTGTTGTCCCATGACAGGGTAATGAATCAGGATGTTCTGATTGTTTAGGCTAAATAGGACTTTTCAGTCCTTTTCCTGATGAGCTTCATTTACAAATTCTCCATTTCCTACTCCATGATTTACGCTGTCATTAGTCACTTCATCATCTGCCATGCTCTCTCAGTCCTAAGGAGGTTTGTGATTTAAAGAATGCTGCAGTCTTTTCTGGTGGTGTTTGTACCAGTGTTTGAGAGGTGAACAGTCTCTCATGTGGCCATTATCCAGCTCTTTTGACTCTTCCATCTCTAGCTCCGCATTCCCCAGTGCTGCTCTCAGACCCTGTCCAGGCAACATTCGTCATGAACAAGTCTGGTCTGGTTTTAGGGCATTCTCTCTTCCTGTGCACTTCTTCATCTTCTCAGAGCAGGGCAAATGTTTGGCTTCCAGCTAACTGTTAATGTTACTGTGAAATGTGAAGTTGTCCATCTGCAAGAAAATGCTTTCAGATGGACAGTCTATAAACCATTCCTTTAGAACTTCCAAACCATAAAGAGAAAAACTGATCTGTAAAGTTCCTTTTTATCCTATTAAAATGAAAATGGTTGTGAGTGACGAATAAGACTTCATCCTTTACTTTTTCTCCTCTGGCTTTCTACCCAAAAAGGAAATGAAAAACACTTTCCATTTTCAGTTGCAACCCATCTTCTTTTGCTTAGTAATGGAGTGAACAGTTGAACTGAGCTGTGCTCTCTGTCTACAGATGCCACATTGAAAAGATCACGAGCAGGAGAAAACATTCAAAACGTGCAGGGTTATTTTTATGTACCAAAAAGTGTATTGAGACACTGAGATTCCGTTTAGACTTTTCACTTGTGTTGATATATGTTACTGCTGATAGACAGGTCCTCACTCACAGCTGAATGATTTGTTCAAAGACAGGAAACTAAGGCTTGAAACAGTTGATTTTTGTCAAAGACAGGTTACTGTTGGAGTTCTATAAGGACTTGTATGAGATACTGTTCTGTTCAACGTAGAAAAGAGTGGTCTAGGAAAACAAAAACCGGATGCTTAGCAAGTAAGACCAATCGCTGATAATACTAGGGCTAGGTAATACTAGCATGCTGGCTACAAAGAGTTGCATCAGGAACCTCCTGTTACGAAGACACAGATCAGCTGCTTGGCAAATGAGAATCAATGTACATTGTGAAATTGTTGCACAGATACTCATTAACAGTTCTTTTTGGGGAAAAAAAATCTAGTTTATTGGGATCTTGACGTAGAGTAACACACACACAAGCAATCAAATCTTGCAAGCAGGATATCTGTTTGCTCTCTGGATGATTGTGGAAGTCTGTGTTCAAGAACCCTTGCCAATGGTGTCTTTGGCTGGATCAAATGAGACTCCCTGAACTGCTGTTTTAACAATGCAGCTAGTCCATGGTGCTATATGACTATTACAGCATATGCATGATATGTTGCTGCTGATTATCTTGGTTTGTGTACAAAACATCTCCTATCTTAACTATGTTAAAAAAAGTGTCCTATGTTACTATTTCTACACCTACAGGAACAATTTCTATGTATATTTATAATATAAATACACAAATGTACAATCCGGTCAACTCT